CTATATCACCTTTGGCAATGCACCTATGTTTGGCTGAAGCACAATTTCCCCATTTTAAAATAAATTGAAACTAGTGGGTCCAGATGATTGTAGTAGGCAGAATTCTAAGATGCCAAGATTCCCACTTCGTGTTAATATAATCCCCTCCCCTTGTATGTGAAGGGAATTAATACAATGGAATGGTCATCCCATGATTAGGTTTTGTTACGTGGCACAGTGGACTTTAAGAAAGGATGACCTTTGGTGGGCCTGACCTAATCAGATGAACCCTTAAGAGGGGCTAAGCTCTTCCCGAAGAAAGAGAGTTCAAGTGTGAGACAGATTTGACAGAAGGGAGATTCTCCATTGATGGATATAAAGATGGAAGGGACCATGGAAAGTGACCGCTAGGAGTGAAAAGCCAACAAGAAAAGCAAGGGCTTCAGCCCTCCAAATACAAGGAACTGAATTCTACCAACAGCCCAAGTGAGCTTGGAAGTGGATTCTTCTGCAGAGCCTCAGATGAGAACTCAGCCTGAGAGATGCCTTAAGTGTTAGACTCTGAGCAGAGAATCCAGTTGAGCCATGCCTACACTTCTGACCTACCCAACTGAGAGCTAATACATATGGTTTGTTTTAAGCCTCCAAGTTTGTGGCCATTTGTTATGCAGTAGTAGGAAACCAGTAAACTAATATAATGCTATTGCAGTTAAATGTGAGTTAAGATTTCTTTTTAAGAATTTTTTTTCTTGACTCCTCTTTCCCTGCCTTTCTCCAAAGCTTTGATCTGCTTTCCCACCATGTAATTATTTCATTGAATATAACCAGAAAATGCCATTTTGTCAGATTAAAATCTTCTCTCCTATCACATATTAGAGTTATCTCCTTCCCCCCATGCTTGATTTGAGATGCAGAGATGTATGCATCTTGGGTATATTATATACATATTTAGGGCTGGAGAATCAAACCAGATAACACAGATTTTGAGAATTAAAGTAAACAATCTGCATATTTTGAATTAACTCAGACATGTTTCACTCATTGCATCTAGTTATCTTGAAACACAGTCACATTGACCTAATGGCTGAAGAAAAAGGAGAAGCAATGTAAGCATAAATGCCTGAACATTTTAATATCTTTTATCAATAAACATTAGTAGTATGCCATGCATTTGAATCCATGCTTATCCCGAGGAAAACCTGCATTCTATCTTCTGCTTCCTGATAACTGCAGCTGGATCCCATTACAGGGGTAGGACACACCATGGGAAGTATGCCTAAACTTTCTAAGCTACAAAACTGAAGCTGATCTTCATTAATTAGATGTCTGGATTATGCAGACTGACCACTGTATTACCATAAATAACATGGTCAGAAACACTATTATATGGCTTAGTGATAGCTCCACCTGGGTCATTTGGCTAAGCCTTGTTTACGAAGACATTCTATTAACCACAAAGGCAGGATCTGATGTCAGGTCAAAAATCAGATCAAACTGTGACTTTGTGGTTGATGGCAGAGAGAATGCTCTACAACAAAGGGAAATGAGAACCCAGGGTGATGTCTTCCTAACATTTGATTCAGGAGAAATTTCATCTCCCGCACACCTTCACAGAGTGCTACTACATAATGCAGATAAGTGAAGATATTAACAAGCCAGTGATTCATAACTAAGACCCACCATTTAGAATCCATATTCTCTGCCTTTGTGAAAACCATGGAACTGGATGAAGAGAGAAGCCACCTAATTTTAGATTAAAGCCAATGTGGACAATGGATTCTTGAATGAAGGCAAAGTCTGAGCATCACATGCCCTCACCTGAATAATGATCAGCTATTTTAATAAAAAGGGAGAACACACGACAAAAAGGCCATGGTGTGGAACAGCTTCAAAATCTGGGGATCCAGGTGAATCATGACTTAGCTTTTACCAACTTTAACCAAAGTCTTCCCAGGTGCTGAAGTCAGCACTAAAGAAAAGCTCTCACACAACTGTTATGCAGAGTAATTGTAATCTTTGCTTCACCTTTTTGGACCCGTGTCTTTGCCATCTACATAATGATGTGGAGGGAAAGCACTTCGAGCCGAAATGAAATAAACGACGTCAGTTTATGCCCACACGGACCTTGTCAAGTAGCCAATGACTTGCCCTTTCATTGTGAGTGACTAATATCAATGCTGGCTCTAAAGAAAGACACTTTTCATAATCGCCCAACAATCTGCTAAGTGAAAACATATGGAGAGGCTTAGGCAAAGCCTGCCAGGGGTCTTTGCTGAATGGAAAACAGGTGCTCTCATTCTGTGCCACGTAATACCCCATTTACCCCCAAGTCCAAAGGTTAGAGGACTAATAGCTGCCTTGTGGTAATCAGGGAAAGCCAAGAAACTAGCCCTGGTGAAACATCTGGGACATATTTTACATACTTGCAACATATGCTTCAGGTTCAATTAAAGTGAGGCTTTGGCACATTTATTAATCTTTTTTACTTTTATCCTATAAGAGGACTCACTGACCTGACCCCACTATTATACCATATGAGAAAACAGAGAAATAATGAGAGCTAGAGGTCAGTACCTGCTCATGTGGCAAAAAACACATTTGTTTTCTCCTGAAATTCCATTACCCATGACTCTATACACAAACTTTAAACAGAGGAACCAATGAATTTTTTAAAGTAGGAAATTACCCTTCTCCCACTCAGACACACTGATAGCCAGGACTTACAACCTTTACCACTCTGACAGCCAGTCCAGAGACGGAGGCTGCTAAATGGAAACTCGAAGGATCCTTTCATATTTCCATTTCTTATAGGAAAAACTTTGTATTTTAACACATCCACTCTAGGATTCTTCCATTATTCAAGCCCCTAAAAGTCTTTTGTAAATTATTATATTTGAGATTTTCTTTTTTGTTCAGATATGATTTTTATGCTATCAATTGCATTATGAGTAGAAGAGAAAAGCCTCCTTATATATCACTCGAATAAAGGCTTGGATTTATGAAAATCAGCTCACCGTCTTGTCATATGGAAAATACACTGTTTGTCAGCATCCTGTGCACAAGAATACAGCTGAATTCACACAGTAATTTAAGCACTCACTTTCAATCAACTTTGGTAACTAGATCTGAAAATGTGTTAGAACCTGGGTATCAGTTTCAGACACCTCAACACTAGATTACAATAGATGCCACTCCAGAGGCTTCGTGCTGTTTCCACCTGGCATGTTCCACTTGACATCTAGGTTTTGGTGAGCTGGTTAACCAGGTGTGTTATTCGCTTCCCATTCCTAACATCCTCTCTATTAAAAAAATGACCATCACGGGGAGATGAGTGGTTTGGAGTATCAACAAACTGGCTAAAAAAAAAAAAAAAAAATACAGGTTGACTTCAAGCAGGGACACTGAAGTCCTAGACTTCACTAAGGGTTTCCATTTATTAACATTTCGGAGGGAACGCCTGCTGCTGGAATGAATCTTTATGGTGGCTTTAATAATAAAGCGGCAACAAGCAAGGGAAATGGCCATAAATGGATGGCAGCTCAGTGTTTATCAGCAGAAAAATGATGATTCAGAGCTGGCATGTTGAGTTAAAATACAAGCTCTCTACAGCTCTACAAGTGACCTTAACAATAAATCATATCATTTATTGCCAGAAGTGTATGTTCATGTTATTTAACGTTAAAAACAAGCATCTATGTGTTTTTGTAGAGAGGAGATTTTGTTAGTGTATATTTGATGATGTCGCTAATGACTAAATGATGTACAGAAGAAAAATTTCACCTAAAAGCTCTATCAATTTCAAAATGTTTGGAACGGGATTAGAAGGGAGAAGGTGTGTATGTGTGTGTCTGTTTTTATTTTCCTTGTAGCATTGAATAATAGTCAAGAAAAAAATCATTTGGGAGTTTGACTAATCACTGTGAGTTTTTTGGGGGTTTTTTGTTTTTGTTTTTGTTTTTTTACATTTCTAATGCTTGCTTCCAGCATGCAAATTCTTATACCAGGATATAACTGTACATCTCTACTAGAATCAAAGGTCAAGGGCATAAAGTAAGATACACTGTTGTTCTCCTTTATTCAAAAAAAAAAAATTCACTGCTTTACTCTAACAGAACTCAGTTTCCAGTGAAGATCAAAATCTGGTTTTATATGCTAACTAATTTGGAAATAATGAATGATATTCTCTCTTCCCTCCCAATCTCACTCTAGCACTTTTTAGATTTTTATCTAGAAATGCCCAAGGATTTTGATAAACCAGCATCGCTCTCCTCCTTGCCATAAAAAGCCTTTCTTCTGACCCCAGACACCGCTACAGTGGTGTAAGATCATTCTAATTCTTCTCTCCAGTCCCCTCTTCCCAGGGGACAACCATTCCAAGAAATCCCAGAAACTAGCTATTTGTTTTTGTTTGTTTGTTTACTGTGGTCACCATTCCCATGTCAACCAGCAACCAGAAAATAACCTCTCAATAGGCTTTCCTGACCAACGAGCCACAGAGCCATTCCAAGTCAAGTCTAGGCAAGGGCCGTGAGCACTGGGATTATTTAAATGCCCTCCGGAGCCCTCCCCACACACGTGTGTTCTTTTGCTAAGCAATTCCTTGAAAATTACAGATGACAATATCCATGTTCAACTTAAGCAGGCTGCTCTGTTTTTCCCCCTTCTCCCTTCCCCCAAAGTGTAGCCCGATTTGTAATACTCAAGATAGGACAAATTTTTGCCCTTCAAAAACAGTTGTCACTGCCGTTATCTTCACGAGAGCTATCAAGTTCCAGACAAGCTGAATTATTTTTTTTTGTTCTGGCAGAAAAATATTTGACCCAGCTCTGGACAAAAACGAAGAGGATTTATAGCCCTCTCTCCTTCTTTGCAACATGCAGTGGCATTGTTAGGATGATAAACAGCACTGTCCAATTTTCTGGACTCAAACACTTCAACTCCTTTTTTAACTGTCTGTGAAAACAGTGTCATGTCTACATTTCCCCATCCCCTGGTACCCAAGTGCCGGGAAAGATAATTACCTTGTCATCTTTGTCATCTTCTTCTTCCTCGTCCTCCAGCATGTCCTCCACTACCTGCAGACAGAAACAGAAGTCATTCTCGTGCTCTTAAAGGAGAGAATTTTGTTCTGTCATTTTGAACCTTCTGGAAATGAAAACTTTATTAACATTTGAAACAGGCGCACAGAGAGGGAACATTTGATCTAGAGATAGGGATTAGGAAAATGCGATGCCTTTAATTGATTAAAAACCAGGGAACTGAATTCCAGTCAGAGGAACCCTATTTGTGTGAAATGTTCTGTGACAACTTAAAGAATCTGAAACATGCATCAGGTAAACTAGCATTAGAGAGATGCTTTTAATCAGGAGATTTCCTTTTTACCTGCTCCACTGCCTGCATTAATCAGACACTTTAAGTTTGGAATCAGATAACTAAGCAGAAAACAGCTCTGCTATTTCTAATTTACTTTTTACCAAACTCTAAGGTAGAGTATACTACCTGTTCATTGATTTATGCTGGTGCTTTATGGCATAAAGCTAATAGCTTTCATGGCTCAAATTTTACTTACTAATTTTTTTATTGAATAAATTTGATTTGTAACATTGGCTAAGTCTAAAGTATACCATGTGTTACTTGGATACATTTATGTATTGTAATATGATTGCTGATGTGGCAATGTTTAGCTTATTACATAATTAGAGTACACTATTATTGTCTGTGTTCATTATACTGTGCATCAGATCTCTATGGCTTATTTACTACCTGTCATGTGTTTGTACCCCTAAACACTGTCACTGCTATCCCTGCCCTCCATTCCCTGGTAACCACCATTTTACTATCTTTTTTTTATAGGTTTAACTTTTTTAGAATCCACAAATAAATGATATCATATAGTACTACACTTACTCTGACTTATCTTGCTTTTAATGTGCTCAAGGTCCATCCATGTCGTCACAAAAGGGATGCTATCTTCCTTTCTTGTAACTAACATTCCACTGTGTCTATATACTACACCCTTTTCACCCACTCATCCAGTGATGGGCATTTGGGTTGTTTCCATATTTTGGCTTTTGTGAATAATGCTGTGGCAAACATGGGAGTGCAGATAACTTTTCAATACCCTGTTTTCATTTCCTTTGGGTATATACCCAGAAGTGTAATTGTTTGGTCATAGGGCAGATCTATTTTTATTTTTTTTGAGGAACCTCCATATTGTTTTCCATAGTGTGTGGACCAATTTACATTCCTGCCAACAATGTATATGGGTTCTCTATTCACCATTCTCAACAGCACTTACTGTCTCGTCCTGATGACAGCCATTCTAATAGATGTGAGCTAACTCAGTGGTCCACTGATACAGAGATGATATGGCATTGTGGTTTTGACTTGCATTTCCTTGATATTAGCGATGTTAAGCATCTTTTCATCTATCTGTTGGCATTTCGATGCCCTCTTTAGAAAATTGCTAAGTTCTTCCGCTTATTTTTAAATTGGACTGGTTTTTTGTTAGGGAGTTGACAGAGTTCTTTAGATATGTTGGGTATTAACCCCGTATCTGATTTATGGTTTGCAAAAATTTTCTCCCATTCTGTAGGTTGTTTTTTCATTGTTTGTTTCACTGTGCAGAAGCTTTTGAGTTTGATGTAGTCCCATTTGTTAATTTTTTCTTTGGTCGTTTGTGGTTTTGGTGCCATCAAGGCTCAAGTTTTAATTCTTGTGTATAAATGTCAACTTTTGACTATCTCTGTATTACTTTTTTATTTTGTGGATTACCAGAAACTCTACTTTTAATTCTCTGATTTACACAAGGGTTATATTATGAGAATGGACAATGAAAGAAAATTACAAATGTATTCAATAATCAAATTATATAATATGTATATAAAACCCAGATGGGGGGTATGCATGAATGTATTTTTAAATGACTCCTAGTTTACTTAGTTCAGGATAATGGAATAGTCATTTCGGATTTGCTCAATAAATTTACCCTTTCCTTGATTAACGTGTAACTGTGGCATTACAAATGAGACTTCACTATGTTTCAGGTGTTTTATTATCATTTTATACACCTACACACACACACACACACACTCTCTCTCTCTCTCTCTCTCTCTCTCCATGGAAACCAAAAATTTAAAAACTTTGAGGAGGGTTGTTATTAAGTGCCAACTTCTGATTGCATTCATGCCATTTCATATAATTTCTAATTCTTGTGGTGCTTTTCTTTTTTTTATCTAGTCTGTATCTCTATTTCTGAATAAACTTGATAGAATCATCGTTATTAAATATTTTTAAATCCTTCTCCCAAAGCTCATAACTGTAAAAGATAAGACAGCGAGTGCTTCTTTCATGTGGCTTATGATACAGACAGGAATATGTTATGAGTGAAAACTTCAATAGCTAAGACTGTATTATGCAAAGAGCTACACAAACTGAGATAACATGTCGGGACTCTTGGTGATCTAATAATTGTCCTCAAATATTCTAAAAGCATTAGCTGATTTAAAAGAATAGCCCAAACTCAAACCTCCATTTCTCATAAACCAATATATAACCAAAAACATCTGACAACCTGTGAGATTGTTCCTAATTTAATGTCATACTTTAAATCTTCCATTACATGGTAGAATTTTGTGGTCTTTCCTTTGGACATTCAACATTTCAAAACAGTGTGCTGTTTCCAGTATCTGGTGAGAGTTTACACTTATTTTGAAGACATATAAAGCAATTCAGCCTCAGCAAGAAAGGACTCTTAACATTCTCTCTAACTATATTCAGCAACTCTGTAAGCATTTGTTGTAAAGCCCTTTGGCCAAGAAACACAGTGTTAGGTACTGTGGGAATACAAAGATGAATAACACAGATATTTCATCTACACTCATGTCAGCCCTCAAGAGAAATATAATTCAGTAGAATTTAAATGGAGACTGTAAGCTAATCTTTCACGGTGGCTTTTAGTTTTCTGAAATTTTGAAGTATTCAGAAGTATATAGACAATAATAGTAACAATGTATAATCACGGTGCCAAATGCCAGGCAATTCTAAATTGGGCTATTTTTGATGGAGGTTTAAATGGGAGAAACAGCCACAATAGTTCAGTACTTTGTATTTCTCCAAAAGAATTCACCTAACACAGCAAATAGCTGAAACAGAACTCAAACCCAGACAGTGGGACAACACAGAGCCAGCTCTCACCCCTGCCCAGTTATTGGGTGGGGGCAGGGAGGGGGGAAGAATTCACCTAACTCCCCTAAGTTTAAATGATTATAATTTCATATCTCTAGTAAAACGATTGATTTAGATTAAGTAATTTTTTAGGTTGGTCATTATGATCCATTTTATTTTTCAGTAAAAGTTGTATATATTGGAGGTATAAAACAGGATGATTTGGTTAATACTAAAATTACCCACACAAAGTCATTTATCAAATATGTCAAGGAAAAAGAAACGAACACTACAAGTATACTTTTACTTCTGTGCATAAACTCAAACACTGTTTTTGCTAGTTATTATTAAAAATGTATTACATGCCTCTCCTCTCAGGACTGATGACCATACTGCAGGTGCTAGGAAGAAAGAATGGCGTTGGATTTTGCCTAGCAGATTGCAAGGTGCATAATAGGTGTTCCAGAAATATTTGTTGATAGAATGAACAGATGAATGCATCATCTATTCTTCATAGCCTTCAATAGGCTTTTACATAAAAGAACTGACCTAGCTCACAGAACTGAACTAGCTTATCTGGAAAGTTATATACTTAATCAGTGATGCAGATTAATAAAAGCAAATATTCAAAATGCCTTCCAATATCTGCCCGGAAAGAGAAAGCATACATATTTAACCTTTAAGATTTGGAGATTTCTACTACCTTCAAGATAATTTTCAAAAATTCAAAATATCATCAAAACATCAAACAAGCCAATAGCTTAATTTACACACTTCCCAAATCAGCTGCATATCTTATGTTCAAGAACGACTCAAAGAGGTCTACAGAATCAGACTCTTCATTTGCAAAACCCAAACTGTTCTTACCCTGCACAAGTGGGTAATTGGCTACGCGCAATTGCTCTACAAATGTGCAGCCGGAACCACCCAATACAACCATTTGCTCTTACATTTGGCAGAAAAGTGTTGTGTTAGCGAGAGGCCTTTGTGCTGTGTTTTAGCACTCTAGCGAGGGCTTTTCCCCTCCTCCAGTGTCTTTTTAATGTTACATCATAAACATCTACAAGTGAGGATTTATAATACAGATGCTTTCCTATGGATGCCTTTAAGCTGCTTCAGAATGCATCCCACTATTACATTTTGCTCAGGTGAAGGTTAAGGTGCCTTGGAAACTGGAGATAATAGCACCTATCCCACAATGCTGATTAAGGATCCAATGAAATAATGTATTTAAACTACTTAGCACAGTTCCTGTATTGAAGTGTTCAAAGAGGTTAGCTATTAGTGAAAAGAAAAATAATATCTATTTAATGATAGTTTAAACATTATTTTTTTAAAGATTTTATTTATTTATTTGTCAGAGAGAGAGAGAGAGAGAGCACAAGCAGCGGGAGCGGGAGAGGGAGAAGCAGGTTCCCCGCCGAGCAGGAAGCCCAATGCGGGGCTCGATCCCAGGACCCTGGGATCATGACCAGAGCCGAAGGCAGACGCTTAACTGACTGAGCCACCCAGGTGCCCCTCAACATTAATTTTTAAAAACTGAATTATGTATTTTTTTTGTCCTGGGCAAAATATTCAGTGTTCTTTATGACATATAAAATTCCAATTCATGTTTTGCAGACACTAAGAGACACATAAAGGGACACAGGCAGAGGCGTGGATCAAGACTACCCCTTAAAATGATGCTTTCACTAATTTTCAGGCTTTAACGGACCAATGAAATGTACGGCTATGAGGGCAAGAGCATCTCAAAAGTGGGGCTGTGCTTGAAGACATGAGCCCTGGCCAAATGCAATGAATATAGAAACTGCAACTGAGGTTTTAAAAACAAACTGTACATATCCCTGAAGTACATTTAATGACTGCACAAAACTGCAACCTTTCCCAGAGAACTCGACAAACACCTACC